GACCAGAATGGGAGAGGAGAGACGGACAAACAGACGGACAGACACAGCAAGTACCTTTAACCGTGATCGAGCAGAATGACAAATCAAGGAAAACTCATACGGGTGAATCTAATCTCGTTTACTTGTTTACTTGTGTGAAGGACCGACATCACTGCACAAGGGCCATTCCTACAAGCGCGTCCCCTGAAGAAGCACATCTCGAAGTGTGTAGATGCTGACGGCTCCAAGTATATTAATGGTTGATTCCATATCCTTCTGCTCCTCCCACTCAGTCTTGAACTTCTGCAGGCGCCCCATCCAATTTCAAGCCCACGAAGTCGCTCAAGATGATGGTATTCCGTCTCTTCTTGTTATTTTTCTCTTTTTTCCTTGACTGACCGTACAATTTCATGTTTGTCATGGCACAGCTTCCCTTCTGGTTTTTGCTTTCCCAGCGAGCTCATCAGCCCGCTCATTGCCCTTGACTCCAGCATGGCCCGGGGTGAAGATCCACTTGATCTTTTTCAGTGTTGTCTTCTTCAGGAGCTCTGTCCATTCAGCTCTAAGGTTCCGACTTTCAATCTTTCTCAGAGTGCTCGGAGAATCTGTGACAAAGATCACATGTGTGCTTGTCGAGTTGTTGTGACCCATTTGAGAGCCTCGAGTGATTTCCTCTATCTCCATTCTCATGCTAGATGAAGTCATATCGTATGCTCTCTGCTGTTCCTGCACCAATCTGCCACTCACTCTTGCTGATAAGCCCCATCCAGATTTTTCCCCTTGTTTAACAGATCCATCCGTGTATACAACCACATCTCCGTGCCGTGAGTTTTCTTCAATCAGTCGTCATATCTCAGCATCTGTCGCCCCATGCGACCACTCTCTACATTCTCTGTTCAGCGTAATCACTACCTTCCCAAAATCTTCCTGCTGTCTCTCACTCATCTTTATCCATTCTTCACCCCGCTTTATATCTTCCAGTGGGCAGACTTCCTTGATGGTGTTTTCAGCCTCAGCCATCCAAGAAGCTCCTCGTAGATGCGGTATCTGGGAGTGGTTTTCGATCGCTGTCTTTCTTTCAAAGATCACATAGATGGTTTGTGGAAAGGGCAAAGAAGGGCTTGAATGCAGTGAAGGTCATGGCGGCTTCGGGAATGGAACAAAGGCTACTGCTTCTTATGTATCAGCAGCTGGTCTTGGCAGTCATCGATTATGGGCTCGGAATATTGACGTTGACAAAAACCCAACTGGACAAGTTGGAGCGAGTTCAAAATGAAGCCATGCGCATCATACTAGGCTGCACCAGGGATACGCCAGTATAAGGCGTGTATTGGGCCTCATGTCAGTGGAAAACAGACACAAAGTGGCTCAGGTTAGGGCGTACATGAGAGTGGCAGCGGATAAGCAACACCCACTTCACGAATCTAATCATTTCCATCGATAAAAATATTATTATTCAATTATTGCCTGCTGTGAGTTTTTATCAAGACTATAGGTATAACTCTTTGCAGTTCCAATACAATGGGAGGTTAATGATAACAATACACATGTGTATATTATACTTTAAAATTGCTGCTTCTTGAAAAAAAAGGGGGGGGGGGAATTTTGGGGGGTGCATGCAAAGGCTTTACACCGACAGACCGCCTCCGTGGGAAGTTCAAAGTTCATGGTTAAAGGTTAACTTTTGAGGCCTTTGCTCTTCTTTGCGCTTGCTGGTGTCACAAACTCACAAACGAAAACATAATATTAATAAATAAGTCACAGACGGGTTGCGCAGCGGCATAAAATCATAAGTTGTAGTTGTAGCATTCCGTTTTCATTTTTGCCCTTTAGCCATGGAGCACTACATAGAAAAAGTAAAATCATATCTTCCAAAGGACGAGAAGGTAAGGACAGCTTCCCGCTTTTGAAACTTAATTAAAACTTAAACTAAAGACTTCAAGTAAAAATTGACAGAGAAAAAACGCGAAGGCAAAGACCTCAAACTCAAACAGCAAAGGGTGAATATTAGAGGCTAGATCTCTAGATCTAGATATCTAGATCTAGATTAGATCTAGATATATATAGATCTAGATTCTAGATCTAGATCTTGTAGAAAGTAGCTGTTTGTACTAGAAGTACAGGTGATTGTCTTGCTCAGACTCAGGTAGCCTCTAGAGCAGGTTCGACTGTAATTTGAAATCCAGGAACAATGCAGCAGAGGAAGATGGAAGCACATGCCAAGAAACTGGGCAAACCATGGACACCCGTTTGTCGTTTGAGAAAGGTGTCTCGACATCTTTGGAGAGGAACTCATCCGACCTGTGGACAGCCTGCCTGCTGAGTGACCACAGGCCACAGGGTCATCTCGTCACACCCCAATTATTATGTGTGACGAAATGCCTACGCTTTTTAAAAAAGTTAAATAAATTTTTAATACTAGATCTACATCTACATCTACATCTACATCTAGATCTAGATCTAGATCTAGATTTAAATTAAATCTTTGTCCAAACTGTTCCATAGTAGTTGAACTTTTATTAGAGATCTATTTTAAATTAAATAGATAGATCTAGATCTAGATATATATAGTCTAGATCTAGAATCTAGATTCTAGTCTATCTAAGGCTGGCTCTATTTCTCCGAACGTTCGGAAAAATAAACTTGAACTCTATATTTCTCCAAACGGTTTCCGTTCTCTAGATTTTTGGGTTACTTTTGAATGGAGTGGCCCATGTCTGTGTGTGTGTGTGTGTGTTAAGTGTGTAAGGTGTGAACGGGGGGGGTAGGGATTTTTGTGTGATTTAGTTAAATTTGCTTGAGGGGTGACTCCAAAGTCGAGCAGTCTTGTTTTCTCGCAGCACCTTTTGAAGGCATTTTCAAATGAAGTATAGTCCGTAAACTTTGCCCCAACCACAATTGAAGTAGGCTTATATCTTGAATATTCAGGGGGGTTTACACATGCTGCACCCTTCTCATGTACACGTTTTATATATACTTTTTTTCTAGTAGTATTTTGCATGCTGAACATGAATATGACCTTCATTTTCCCCGCAAATCAACAGATCTAGTTATTGATTGATGTTTGAAAATACAGTATAGTCTCTGCCTAAGATCCCGGTGCTCGGGAGCAAGGAAGTACGGGATCTTAGGCGAACCGGGATCTTAACCAACGAACCCATGGAAGGATCTATGGTGACCCATGCTAAGACTCACACTCGGTAAAATGGTCTCCTTCCACTCTAAAATGAACTGACATGACCGCTTGGTGGGCTTATGACACAATATGGCGAGCAAAGAGTGGTTAACCTTGATGACCTATCACAGTGCATAGTGGGATGAGGCGTGCCATTTTCACTTATCATCCTATCATGAGTCTCAAATTCTACGCTTATCCAGTTCCCCCTCCCCCTTACCTGTCGAAAGTTTATAGCTTTCCATCTATGACCGACCAAGCCCCCCCCCCCCCATCTGTCTCGCAAATTCGGGAGTAGAGACAACTTCTGCAGTGGTCAGGGAAGAGTTCACAGTTCAATGTGATCCCACCTGGAGCGAACATGTAGGCCCTACCCACCCAGCAAATGATGTAAGTTTAGGGGTAGAGCTCAGGTGTGAGTGCAATGTTCGAGGAAAACAAACGTGTCGGTCTGTTCACACCCCGGTGTGATCCCGTCTGGGGCAAACATTGTATCGCTTCATCGAGTTTTTCAACGTTTATGTGATCACATTCACGATAGTGGCTGATCTTTGAAGCGACGGACAGTTTATTGATCTCAACTTTTCACTCTTGGTTGATCGGCTGTCCCGCCCGGGTTTTTGTTCCGCAAATTATGATCTGAAATGCGGGATGTTAACCGAATGTAGACCTTCAGAGTGAGTCAGAGCGGGATCTTAGGGGTGACTTTTGTATAGTAAAAATTCTGTTTTCTTAAAACAGCGGGATCTAAGGGAACCGGGATCGTAAGCGGTGGGATCTTAGGCGGAGACTACTGTAGTAATATTTGACTTGATTTAAAACAACATGAGGGGTTCAGGCCCCTCCTTGCATTTCACAATGATTTGATGTTTTGGCAATTAGGGATTGATTGATTTACTTCAAAACAAATGATTTACAAGGGTTTAAGTGGCCATATATGGGTGTTCTACAGCAAAAATTATTGGCTGTTTAGCCCTCAAATCAATGCATCTGTGTGTGGATGCATAAATCAGTAAAAATTTACAGAACATTCAGACATCTAAAAATCTCTACCTCTAGAAATTGAATTCAATGCAATAAAATGCTTCTTCCCAGTCCTTGCAGAATGACTGAATAAAAGATGATGCTGTAGGCTACTCTCCGAAATAACCCAAAAATCTTGAGAACGGAAACCGTTAAGATAAATAGAGTTCAAGTTTATTTTCCCGAACGTTCGGAGAAATAGTCACTTCGTTTAAATAAGGCAAAAACAATGTCTGGTAGAGCTAACTAAGGCTTTATGTTTGAAAGTAAAGATCTAGCTTTTAGCAAAATTGCAGTACGTACAGTTATATTGTACACTTCTATAGCTAATTTATTTATAGTTTAACAGTACTAATAATTTGTCTTGCCAATCACATTTTCATCAATATTATAATACCTAAAAATTTGTTGATCTGACTCGATAAATTTCCATAATTCACCACCCACATGAGATGTTGATCATGATCTGTTCCTTTGAATACCAGTCATTTCGTCACACGGATGCAGTCAAGACGTCACAGTCATCTCGTCACACCCCAAATCCACAAGGTTGAATGGAGATGGTCATTTCATAGCACGCTTTCAAATATCAAACGCGCATTGTCATGGTCATGGCAATCGCATATCACGATTTGGGGCTGTGGGAGTTGTCGTGCCTGCCTGATCAGCTCTACGCCGTACGTAATTTATATGTTTAGGCTATTGACAATATTGAAATCTATCGCGTCAGATCAACAAAATTTGTAGGTATTATATTGATGAAAGGTGTGGTTGGCTAGACCAAATAGCCTTTATATTATTAGTTTCTGTAAAAAAATAAATTAGCAAATATTACAAGTGTATATTACTGCAATTTTGCTAAAAGCCAGACCCTTACTTTCAAACATAAATCCTTAATTAACTCTTTACCAGACATTGTTTTTGCCTTATTTAAACAATTATTAAACTATAATGGAACAGTTTGGACGAAGATTTAATTTACTTTGATAATTTGTATAACATAAAAAAAAAGCTGTAGGCTGACCCTCCAAAAACTCTACTGGCACAACAATTTTGGAGAGATATTTTATAAGCCATGTCATTTCGTCACACATAACTGGGATGTGACGAGATGACCTTGTGACGAAATGACTGGTTACCGTTCCATTGTCCAACAGCTAAATGATGTTAGAGCTACCTCATAGTCCCTCCGAGACGCGGGAGCAGAAGATAGGTCTATACTCTATGGTACAACACAAAATTATGTAAAGAAAACTTGGACATTTTACTGCCTCATTCATTGCACTGGACTGAGGAGGGTGAAAACCCATACTTAAGTGGATCAATTTATATAACTGTGTTCAAATATGTGATAACTTAGGTACCAGAAACTAAATTTTCAAACTAGCTGTATGCCAAATTTATCTGATAAGTTTCTTTCTTCTTTTTCAGGAAATAGAATGGTGGATCAAGTTCCGCAATCCAAAAGTCATCTTGAAAAATCATGAATCTTTCCTCTACTGTGAGATTGTCTTCTATGTGATTGGTTTCCTCACGTTTTGCCATGGTAAAAGAAAGATTGTTATTGTATCAAACTGATATTAATTTGTTAAGCTTTTAACACTTTGCTTCCTGTTGGCAGAATATCTAAATGATCTGAAACTTACTGACAATTTCAAGCTGGAAGCAAAAAGTGTTTGTGAAATGTCAGTATTCGCAGTTTTAGATTAATTATTTTTAAGTCTTTCACAACAGATACGCCTTCTGCGTCATAGGAGAATTTACATTGAAATAAAACTGGTATTGAACATCAAAGGTTTCATTTCAGTAACTTCCTCTTCTCTCAGAACTGACAGTGCTGTGATAGTAACTTGGTTTGTCTTTGTGAAATCTGTAGAAACGTAAATGAGATTTTGAAATTCTTCTCAAATAGTTTGCTATCATAAGGAAACTTTCTGTTTTAGTTCATTCAGTCATTATGAGTTCTAATTTCTTTTTTTCAGCTGAATTAGTTTTGACTTTCATTTTTAACAGACTCTAGGCAATGATTCACAAATTTTATAATACTACTTTGATGAATGCTCATTTTTGCCCTTGTTTTATGTATGGCTAAGATTTATTTATGTGTTTTATCTTTTTTGAATTGATTTACAATCTAAGCAGGTATGTGAATGTGCATGGCTCTTGTCTACTTTTTTGCAACGATGTGTATTTAGGGATCAAACTATTGATTATAAATGCTTTTGCTGTATTCTGCAGCCATGCGTAGTGGTGGCAGGTTTCGGTGGATGTGGTTTGCCACTATTGCCCATGGCCTTACAGTGGAGTGTGTCAGCTACTATGTCCCTGACATTGACAGTTTTTGGCATGCACAGTCCATGGTGATGTTACTTGGTCAAAGACTACCACTACATATTCTTCTTGTCTGTGAGTAGAATAATAGATATAAGCGAAATATGGTTTTAGATTTTTCATATCGTCTTTGTCTGTCAATGTAAATTGTTTTAGAGATTTTGGAAACCATACAATTGAAAAATTAGATTTTTCCAGTTCAAATACCTAGCCAATTTTATTGTCTTGCAAAAATTAAGCAGGACTAAATATATATTTTAAATGTGTTAGGCGAATTGGAAAAAAAATCCTTTTGCTCTGGCCTTATTTCACTCACTGGTTTGACTTCAGAGTGAATGCATTGTAAAAAAAAAAAGTGGCTTTGTCTACAGCTGCGTTCTTATTGTATTTTTCGACAGATCCTGCTTTCATATACACAGCCTGTGTTGCAGTTTCTCATCTGAACCTCCGTTGGTGGGCCGAACCTTTTGCTGGTATGTGCTCTGTTGCATTGAAAATGATAAAAGAAATTAGAAATGAATCTGTCTCTCTAAGTTTTTTCTCTATTTTTGTCCTGCCTTCCCTTTCTATCTTATCTTAACAAACGTACTGCTTTTAATTATAATATTTATAGGTGTGTGTGGGATTTAGTTTGTTAGAAAAAGTTTATTTTAAAATTGAAAAATCTGGTGAAAAATGAAGTGCCTCAGAAAAGTAGTAATAATAGTGGATTTCCTGAAGCAGTCTTATTCATTTTCCACAGGGTTTTTTTTTTTTGGGGGGGGGGGGGTGTTCCCTATTCGGATTGGTTTTTATATTTATTTACTCTTGTAAGTCCTGGTTGTGGTTTAGCAATATGTAGTGTGTTCATAGGCATAAAATGTCACTCTCTACTGCCATTCTCATACTCATCTCATTTCTGACTGGTATTTCAGTGGGCTTGACAGTGGTTCTGGTGGATGTGCCTTTTGATATCATGGGCATCAAACTGCTGTGGTGGACCTGGCATGACGATGATCCCAACATCTACGACCGCCACTACTGGGTGCCCTGGACCTCTTACTACTTCCATGCTGCATTTGCTTCCTCCTTTACCTTTCTCTTCTTTGGACAACGCAGTCTTCTGTGTCGGTCTGGTCTCAAGTACCAGAGTTCAGGGTGAGCTATGCTTTACTACAGGGCAGAGAATTTTGTGAGATCACTAATATATAGGCCTACAGTGGCTAATCCGAAAACAGCAGTAAAACGATTTTTTTCTTCTAATTTAGCAACCTCTCTAAACTGAAAACCTGGCTGAAATGAAGAAAATCTGGTGGTCTGGTAGATTTCAGCTTAAGTGAACCACTGTATTTCCAGTACAGTCAACGACATTACTCATCACTCGGTCTCTCCATTCAGTCTTTTAGCTAACTAATAATACTAGCATAATAACTTACCAAGTAAATATAATTGTTTGATTTTTTAAAACATTTTTCTGTTTGCTGTTATATAATTACCATTTTTATTCTTGTTCTGTGTATTTGTACTTTTTATTTGTTTTCTTAATCAACAGTTTGCAAAACAAAAGAATACTTTTCTGCAGGTTAAGTATGATCTCCTTTTTTATCTACAGCTTTTTCTGTGAGCTCCCAATGCTGATTGTGACTGGCCTGTTTTCCATGGTTCTGGGTACTGTCCAGTTCATCCCGATCTATCACCCTCTCCACGACTCCTTGGGCATCCATTCAGAGGTCTGCGTCCTCATGCTGCTGGTGACTTATGCCCTCATTGTGTGGAGTGCTGATCGATACCCATTTGAATCAGCAAGGATCTCTGGCACAAGTGAGGAAAAAATTGTGTGGATAACTGATATGTTTTCTCATTTTCAGTTTGTTGATCAGCGTTGCTGTATTCAGAGCCTACCAATAAACACTTTACTTTTTATATCAGTGATCCTTTCAGGGTGTTTTGTTATCTAATTGAGGCTACTCAAATGTGTCCAGTTTCATTATTAGACAACTACAGTAGTCTCCTCCTAAACGCACACCATATAAAAGCACGCTCTGCTCAAATGCACGCTTTCGTCATCTGACGGGTTTTTTACAATATAATTTAGACGTACAAACGCACGGTCACTCCCTCTAAACGCACGCTCCGATCCGCGAAATACACCGACAAGTTAAGCTTGGCAAGGGGAAATTTTCACTACAACCTGCACAGCCTGCCTAAGACAAGCCTAGAATTTACTAGAAAACCGGATATTTGGTGAGAGTGCCCCTCACCCCGTACAAAGAGAGTAATGGACTGCGTTTACACACCCTACTTTCCACTGACGCATAGGTCTCGATCTAGGGCTGGTCGGTTAAATGTTGGGGGGGGGGGGACTGAAATGTTTTTTTATTGGTCACTGGAAATGTATCTTTGAAAGAAGGTTTCTGACTGGTGTTTGAGTGACTCCGTGTAATGTTTAGTTAAACCTAGGCCTGATGCGCGACACGCGCGAATGCCATAAAAAGAACACTAGACAGGCCTCTATAGCATTTTAAAGATTAGCCAAGTAAGCCTAATCAGCTGCACTCGAAGAACTAATAACGTACTTGTTCAACGAATCACAAGAGAAAATGTTTCTCGGGGATGATTCTGCATGAATTTACGGTCGGGGGTGGGCGCTTGGAAAGACACGTGGCTGGTCCGTCGTCTCTATGACTATGACCAACAGTTTCCTGCTTAGGCTATCTGTTCCCGACATTTACAGTATTTTTTTTTTTTATTCATTACACTGAGTTTGTCTTTCTCCCCCCCCCCCCCCCCCATTCAACGCCTTTGTATTCTTAACCCCTGTCGGGGAAACCTTCACAAAACAGTCACGTGTCATCACATTATCTGCCAAAATGACCCCCTCCCTCCAAGGGAGGTCACTGGAATAATAAGGAATTGAGATGACTGCGTCCCTTCCTTCCCTTGCAAAGGTTCATGTAAACGCACGCTCCGTATAAACACACGCTAAGGAGCCCTCCCGAGCACCGTGCATTTAAGCGGAGACTACTGTACAGTTTTGTATGTACATTACAAACCCGCACATAGTAAAACACACACATAGAGAACAGATTTTCAGGTACTGAATTTTTTCTGATAGCCTACATGTATGTTCTTTTTATTTAAAACACATGCATAGCGAAATTCTTACATTACGAAAAGATTTCAACGTCCCGCCAATTTACCTGTGTGCATGCTAGACTGTAACAGTGTTTTTTATGTAAAAGTGGAGTATTTCATCCTTTTCAACATTTTAAACAATTGAAGAGGCGGGACCTAATGACAAATGTTTTTTCTCTGAAAGGGTATTATCAGGAGAGAGGACATTTTTTTAATAACTTGTGATGAAAACAGTTTTCAGAAGTGGATGGCCTGCATCCTTGTTTCATTACTTGAGCTAAACCTGCTTTAATTTTTTTCCTGTCTCTGTATATTTCAGAACTACTCAGCCTCATCCCTCTTGCCGTCCTGATTCACTATGCCTTTTACATCTACCTGGTATTTACGGCCAAGCCAAATACCATTCGATCCATTGGTTACCACCAGCCAGTAGGGCCATGTGATGAACCTGTCAAAGTGTTAACGCCTTTTGGACATGTAAGGGATTTTCTTCGATTAGCTTATAATGTTATGGTAGCGACCTGCAGTGTCTTATATGGATTAAGATAGTGGTCTTCATGTAGTTTCCTCTACTTATAATACCTCAGTCCTTATCTTTTTATTGTCTGTTATATACCAGCACTTGGTTAAGAATTTCAAAATGATAAAACTACTATACAATTGCAAAGTAATCAAAAAGTTGAATGAATGGAGAAAAAAAATAAAACGAGAGTTTAAGTGCTTTGGTGTAATATGTTACAGATGATAATGTCAATCATATTTGTACCAGCAGTTTGAAAATCTGTGGATAAATTGACCTACATTTTATAAATTGACCTACATGGAATATCTTTTTGGCCACCTCTGGTCAAAACTGATGATGTAGAGGGTAGATCTAATTTTTAGTCATGCAATGAGCTGCCTTGTTTTTGAAAGGGTTTGGTTAAAATTCCAGTGTTCTAGATTTTGGTAATGAGAAACTAAAAAAGCTCTTGGACTAACCTGACCAAAGTAAGTCAATGGGCGCTATGGCATTTGTGCTCCTGGTTATTTCAGCATGTTTAAAAAACCTGTCAGATATTTCAAACAGTCTGACATTACACACAAACATGTCGCCATGCCATGCACAAACATGCACTCATACACTATTTTGTAGCCTTGCATATAGAATTACTCTCATCTTCCTTATAAAATATTTTTTTTTTTAGTAGAGGGTTTTACGGCCCTCGCAACTGCATAAGGTCATATGAGCGCCAAGGGGTGGGTGTCAACAGAGAAGTCCTTACAGGGAATCAGACTTACTCTGCTCACCTCTCTAGCTTCAACAGCACAAGGTCTGCTTCGACTATAAAGGCACCCCGGAAATAACGGGTCA